CTCTCAAACCCGCACTGGCTAGGACCATGGCGTCAGCATTTTGATGATGAATCATGGCGTGGCAGCGTTACTTGAGTCGACCTTCTGTGTACCTTATTCTGTGGTCCTGTTGAGCAACGGGCTCGCGGCGTTGAACACAAATAAGAATTACACCTTAACGTTGTTCCCATTTGTTTATATATCGACAGCATAGGACTTCTAAACTTCCCTGCATGGAAATAATTATATTGCCCTGTCTTAAGTGTATTCAATATAAATTTGGTTGAAAACGTAGGTTATCTACATCCTATGTCTACATGAACATGGACAAGAGGACATTTTAATTTAGGAAAATGGGGGGATTATATTGTTTACAGTAAATATATTATCTTACAAAAGGCAAATGTCTGCCTACAAAATATCTGGGTAAACCTACAAGTACAAAACAAAACTTTTCTTACCCTGATAAAAATAAAATGCGCTGTAAGCTTTATCTTCCTCTCGTAACAATATTTTGGTGAATATTTATTTTTAAATATAAACAACCTCGTTTTATAAATAGCAGTTTTTATGAATTATGGTAATAAATTATAATATTTTCCGTGGTGAATAATTATAATAATTAACATTATTTACTGAAGTGGAAACCAGACCCCACACGGTCACAATTCTTAAGAGGCCAGGTTACACGGCAAGAAGAAAAAAATTAAAAATAATTTTGAAGTTTTGAAAGAAAGTGAATATGGTAAGTGCGTTTCAATTCATCTAGGGAGATATTTCTTTTGTTTTTGAATCACTATACTATACATGCTTAAGAAAAGGTTCTCAATGATCATGCCACAATTTGTAAATGTAATTTTGTGTTAAAATGACGTTGTGATTATTAAAAGTGAAAGCCTTCACATGTAGAGCATTTTGCTAATCTAAAGATGCTTAATTTATCATTTCACGCTTATATACACAGATCAGATGTGAATAGTACTAGTTGTCTCCCTCCTTTTTGTTTGGGGGTTTTCACGGAAAAGTATACAACTTTGCATTTATACAACTTTGTGATGTGTTTATTTAAATGCATAGACGGATTTTGTGTGTGTGGGGGGGGGGGGGGGGGGGGGGGGGT